GAGCGCATGGTTCCCGGTCACGAGGGCCAACCTGCCTCAGTTTACTACAGCTGCCCGCTTAGCGACAATCACGCCTATAAGAAATTCTGTTTTTGTGGTGATTTTTTGCTTTTTGAACATAAAACTGATTATTATATATCACGCCAGATGCAGTTTAATGCTGAAAAATGTAAAGTTCTGAGGCTAGGTAATGATGATAGAGTTACAAGATACGAGCTAGATAAGATAAGCACCTCCAAAGGATACCTGATCAACCAGGCTGTGACTCATACGTCAGGCTGCGAGCAGCCGCGTCTAACAGCCTGGTTGATCAGTCCAGCAACCAGGAGGCCTGGTCGACGACCGGGCCGCGGGGACACTAAGCCCCGGAAGCACCTCAAGGTAGCCTCAAGGTAGATGGTGTTGAGATTGCGAAGTCGGATTGCGAAAGGGACTGGGAGTTATGATTAGTAAGAATTTAAAACAAAAGGATCAATGCATGAATGTTTTTAATAAGGGAAATAGGACACTCGGATTTATTAATCGAAGCGTTAGTAACAAGACACCTGGTGTGGTTCTTAAGCTATATCTTGCTCTGGTTAGGCCCCATTTAGATTATGCAGTTCAGTTTTAGTCGCTGTATTATAGAATGGATGTAAATTCACTTGAACGTGTCCAGCGTAGGATGACTAAGTTAATTCCCCAAATTAGAAATCTTTCATATGAAGAAAGATTAACAAAGCTTAAGTTGCATTCACTGGACAGGCGAAGAGTTAGGGGTGACATGATAGAGGTTTACAAGTGGATGAATGGGCATAACAAAGGGGATATTAATAGGGTATTAAAAGTATCAACACAAGAAAACACTCGCCCACACGCCCTTGGCGTGTGGGCGAGTATGTGGAAGAGCGTGCGGGCAAGTGTGCGGGCAAGCGTGCGGGCAAGCGTGCAGTGACACTGATATGTGTATACTCGTTTCAGTTTTCTCACCTTAATTCTCGTGCTACATCGTTCATTTTGATATCATTGTGTTCGCAATAGAATTCCCTACAGGCGTATATGCATATAATGTCGAAAAGCCTTGCATGACTCCCAACAGCAAAGCTTAAAGTCGGCAAAAGTAACCCGTCAGCGCACAAAATCAGTAAAATGTGTATACTCGTTTCAGTTTTCTCACCTTAATTCTTGTGCTACGTCGTTCGTTTTAGTATCTTTGTGTTCGCAATAGAATTCCCTACAGGTGTATATGCATATAATGTACAAAAGCCCGGCTTGACTCCCCACAGGAAAGCCTAAAGTTACCCGTAAACAAGCACCAATTGGGACACTGCAACCTAATGTGTAAACTCGTTCAAATTGATACATCAATTGTCATGTTACGTCTTTCATTTTGGTATCAAATTGTTCGCAATAAAAAGGCGCGTATTTTAAAACTAGTCCCATAATAATAGAGCAATAACTAGAATTTTAACACTTTCGCGCTTTAGATTAGAGATAACTCGTCGCCGTTTTTTCTTACGATTCCGCATAACAGCCTACTTTTCTCGTCCATCGAAAAAATATTTCTATAAATTCCATTTTTTAACCGAAATGGATGGGGATACTCTCAGATTTTTCTCCATGAAATTCCCGTTCTCCCTCACCGAACACATGGCATCTCGGCCTACCCGGTCACGTGGTATACCACATGTTCCCGACATAGATGCCAGCGCAGCTCGTCCTGCTGACGCGGCAGTTTCAACACCCGGGCCCATCTGGTGCGAGGCGTCCTCTGTTCACCTCAACACCTCAAGCCCACTCATCAACCACAAATTCTGAAATGGACATTGAGGACATAGAACCACTTGATGTTTCTGATTTCATAGAAGATTCTACTACAAGTTTGGTGGTTCCAGAAGAAGACAATATTCCTCCAGTGCATCCAAGAAATACAAGAATTATAGATTCAGAACAACGTCTCAACTACAAGTTGACGCATGAACTCGTGCACTTGGCTAAAAAAAGAAGATGCCGTGTTTGTTTCAAGTCTGGCAAAAGGAGGGACGTGATATATGGATGTAAAACTTGTGATGTGGCACTGTGCGCTGCGCCTTGCTACACAAGGTACCACCGAAGAAAGATATTTTGGGTGGAGAAAAATAACCACCGGCAACAGCTTCACTCCACCTAAGAAACATCAGATGAGCAACTTCAGGATCAGAAGCCTGAAGATGGTGGAGTGAAGAAAAAATGCTCAACTGTTGATCTTCAATCAACATAGACAGGGTAAGTACACCTATTTGGAATTTTTTATCATCTATAAGAAGTTATATTAT